AAAAAAAAAGTTATGCGAAAGATTTACTAACCAACAAGATCGCATTAAGTCTATTATAGAAATTGCCAAAAAGAAATGAAATAATTTGTATGAAGTTATAGAAGGTTTGGTAAAAAATCCGGGACGATTTTCTTTGAATAGTCTTCTGAAATATTCTCCTTCCAAATGGCTTGCAGAACAAAATCCAGTTGTTGTGAAGTTTATAGAAACTCTTATTCATAATGAAAATGAACAACAATATAGAGAAAAGCCTTTTAAATATGCTGTAGCTGTTGATGCTATATATGAATCAAGGTACTTGAAATACATTTCTGCAATCAATTTGGCTGCTTCGGCTATTAAGTATTCGTTAGCAAGGTCAAAAATGATTGTGGATATTGATAATCATATTATTAATTCTGGTAGCTATTCAAAATTTACTAACTGGCTAAAAAATTTAGCTATAGAACAGCCACCACTTCCCAACGGTCTTTTATTTTTGGCTTTCGACAATGAGCAAAAAGACCAAAAAAATTATTTGGATCATGGACATAATACGGTTATATTCTATACCGTTACGAGTTTTGTTGCCTTTAATTATAATTAAAGCAACAATATTCAAACTATGAATCCCTGGCTATATTCCAAATCTACCCAAAAACAATATGAAGAATTATTCTACTTAACATTGGATATGAAAAATGCAATTCATGAAGAACTTACTAACTATCTTTCAGTTATTTTAGAAGAACTTCTTCTCGAGAAAAATCAGGAAACAAATGCGATTGATGACTTGGTAAACTCTCAAAGCCAGATAGGAAATATGAAAAAATGCCATTTTTGTCAAGTCTCTGATATCGATAATAAGAAGCGGGTTTGTCCTAATTGTCATAATAAATTACCTACCATTAGTTAAATGAATCAACAATTTATACTACTGACAAGCCTCTAGTTGTTTGTTCTTATAGGTTTAAAGAATTAAATATACAAAGATCAGTTTTAAAGGTTTACGAGCTACAAATGTTTATTTCTGATTGATAGGAATTAATCTTAATTCGATTGCTAATGTTCAAAAAGTTCTTGAGCATATCGAAAAAGCATCTGGAGTTAAAGACAATAGACGTAAATAGATCATGGTTACATGTGATGAAGTGCTGTATCATCATATACTGAAAATAAAAAAAGATTTTCCTTGGCTTATATTAATTCCAGGTGCTCTTCATGAAGAAATAAATATGTTAAAAGCATTCGTTGAGTTGAATTGGGATATTGACATGAGAGATTTTGCTCATTGTCAAGGGTATCAAACTAAAAATCAACTTCAGTTCTTCAAAAAATGTTCAGATCATCACGAATCGTGGGATTCAGTATGTAATATATACAGGCATGCAATGGCATCTAAATTAATGTGGCCATATATTATGTATGAAGAAAACCCTTCTGTCAAAGGTTATTTAAAATAGGCCCAAGAACAAACGGATCCTATGTATAAATTAAAGTATGAACAAATCTTTTGTTATTTGCAAGTAATTATTAACTTTCGTACTGGAGTTCGTTTTAATAGATCTTTACTAAGACTTGTGGCTAGAAGAATATTTGTGCCTATTTGGTCTGCTCGACGGTATTCAATTTATCAATTAATCGAGGTTTATGATGAATAGGAAATGTTATGATTGAAGCCTGAAGTTTTCAACTTAATCCAAGAGAGAATCGTAACTTCACAATCCAAACTTTCGAATCAACATCAAGGCCACAATGCAATACTTGAAGAAATTAATAGGGCGTTCAAATCATTAATTCCTCCAATACCTTCACAACAACATTGGGAAATTGCAGTACATAATTGTACTAAGTTTTTGAAATTGTGTACTAATCTTTTTAAGCTAATAGCGTATTCTGAAAGTGAAACCCAAGAACCTCGTACACGTCCTGGTTTTACTGGTGAATCAAGTCGTTATCAGGCTTGAATAAGAAAAACCCAATTCATAAATCCAAAAGCTAACAATCGTATTTTTCAAGATATAAGTGGTGAACAAAAAATAAGTGAAGAAATGAAATGATTTAGCGAAATTACAAATATAAAGAGAATTGAATTTATTAAAGCTAAACTAATTAACAAAACAGTATTGGAGATTTGGTATCCAATACCTATAATATGTGAAGCGGCAGATTTTCAAAAAACTAAAAGCTCTTTAACAAAATCGCAACTTTCATCTATTATTAACTCTTTAATTTCTTCTTTAGG